CCGTGCACACTGCGCGCAGCATGCGGCAGGCTGCTGGCCGGGCCAAGCCGACTGCCGGTTCGGTCGAACCGCAGTCCGGTCCAGACCAGTTCAGACCGGCTGGACCGGTTCAGCCCTATTTTCAATCGGTTCGGTTCTTATGATTAAGGTTTCAGCCCGGTTCATGATTTTAATGATACTTTCAGTTAAATTTCCGAGATTATTTCAGTTCAGTAAATTCATGTCCGATCAGTTCATGTCAGTTCAGTTCCGGTTATTCCGGTTAAGTCTAAATATCATGTTAAGGTCAGTAGAGCATCTTAACGTAATTAATCAGTTAAGTTAACGGTCTGAGCATAGTCATTAGTAATTGTTTATATTATTTTCAGTTTGATCAGGCATCAACACTACCATTCAGTTCAGAAGTTCAGGTAGGGACTCAGACTAAGTACTACATTGATTATAATTACGGTACCATGCTTGAGGTATGTATTTCATGTGAGGTATCCGCTCGGAATGGTCGCCGGTCCATTCTGAGTTCTAGTGGCCCTAGTCTACCCACTAGAGTGTGCACATGGTGTCCGGCTTTGCCGGCAGATGAGGTAACGGTCAGGGTCACGTTTGCGTGACGATTTCAGATTCATGTTCATGTTATTACCGGCTTGAGGTTGAGGTTATGTATATACTGATATCATGATGTTGTTATTATTTTCAATGTTTACATTAGTATGAGTTTCCACGGAGCACAGTGCCATAGTGCTCATTTCCCACTTTTATCATATTTTTCAGGTCAGGACGTCGGGCCGGGAGCATGAGCTGACGGAGGCTTCAGGACATTTATGTTTTTGACTGTATATTTATTATGATGACTTACGCTTCCGCTTACGATATTTTTGATGACTTTTGATGTATTTATATTTTGACGAACTTTTGGAAAACTTTATGCTTTCAGTAACCGGATGATTTCCTTGAAAATTAAATAACGGTTTTCCAAATTAAGTCATGATTTTAAGGTAGCACCCCGAATCAGTTTTCGCAAAGTAAAAAAAAGGTTTTATTTTTAAATAACTTT